CTCTTTTCTTGGTCATATTAATAACATACTTCACACTGTGTACGTTCTAATAGACTCATTCTGTAATATACTGATATATCAATACTATTGCTAATACATACAGTATTTGCAATATACTTTATCACAGCTAAAGCACTTCTGGATAGATGCAAACTGCCTTTCGCTGCCTTGTACCTGTGACATGTGCAACGACAATAAAGTTGAATTCTAATCTATTATATTGTTTTCTTTTTCCCATAACCATGTGAAGCAAAGGCAGCTCTCCATTCTTCAAATGACTTTGTTGCAGTCGCTTCACAGTACCAGTAGCCAAAATACTGTTTATGAGAGGACGGCTTCCTTTCTTGGTTGCTTTGTTTACAGACTATCATTGTTGATTTTTTTTAACATATGTTCATGTAGGTTGTCCAGCCTGCTCCCTCTGCAGCTTCCTCTTCCTGTACTGCTGTGTGGTTTTGGGCACATCAGGGGTCTGGTGGCCTCTAGATACTGATGGCCCAGTCACAGCAAGGGCAGAAATTGAGGGACTTAGTGGAGAAACAAACAGTGGCAAGTTGGCTTGATAAAGTGGCTGGACAGGAAGCAATTTAGGGAGAAGCCTGGGACCTGATGTACTCGGAAGAAGTCTTCCCGAAGAAAGCTGTCCCTTGGTGTTCTGTGCTTGTTGAGGCAGTTCTGTAACAGTCCTTTTCATTTTAATTTTTGCTGTTCCAGCTGTGTCTGGAGGAAGAACAAAGAGGTGCTGGTTGTTTGTTGGAGCAACTTGGACGACTTCCTTCTGTGGTGCTGATGGCTGGTTGATGACACCGGATACGGCCGACAGAGGAGACTGAATGCCTGTTGAATAGTTGTCTCCTGTGTCCGAGTGCGCCTGCAATACCTACACATGGAATGACTATAATTAAACGTTACAGTTTCAAATATATATGTATATATATATACTACCCATTTCTGATTAAGTCCGATGTTTATTTTCAGCGAATATTTTATCCGTTTTAAACACGGAGTGATTACTAGTTTAAAAAAAAATCCCGCTTCTGCTTCATATAACTAAAATTTTGTTAATAAAAATGTTACAAGCAGTAATTAAATATCCTTGTAAGACAATAACTAAATCAACACAACTTACCGTTCGATGACGCCATTCTTTATCAAAACAAAATGATGAGATCAAACGTAGAAAACGTTCTCCCCGAGCGACCATGCGGAGCGGAAAATTAACAGTCTTTGACCCCCACAACAACACCTAAAAGGTTTACCTGAACAGCAAGGTCTCTGATTGGTCTCTGATTGTCACTTAGAGGCGGGCGTTTTGTGATTGGCCAACGATACTGTCACTCTCGCTTTTCGGTCGATCTCGGTCGCAGGGGGGCCGTGATTGGCCTGTACTCCACGGGGAGCGCCAAAGTGACGCACTGCTGCGGCTGAGCCAGCAGTATGGCGGATGCCGTTCTAAGACGTATTAGAAGACGATGTATATCAATAGAGCAAGCATATAGCCAGGATGTGCGGGCCCCAGAGAGGTACGCGCTATTGACATCTCCATTGCAAATCTGTGCAGAGTTGAAGCTACTCTTAGCCCCAATGCAATACGGAAATTGTTAATAGTCTAAGGGAGCTTAGAACTACTATCTCCGTGGCCGTAGAAGCCTCAACAGCCGGTCATACTTTTCATGCTGGACGACTGCTTTCAGGTAAGTTGCTCATCTTTTCAAATTTACTTTAAGTAATTGATTCTACGGAGCCCAAGGGACAGGTGCAGCATTATTTTTTTTTAAAGAATCCCGACCCTCGGCTCGCTCATTTAGCTAGTTTATTGTCTGCCATGCCACAGACAAGCAGTAAGTCTAATAGAAACTTTAAAGGAAAATTATTAGAGTTTCTGGGGTGTAGCGGTACTGTGTGTGCACTGCAAACCAACGGTTGGGGGTTCGAGGCCAGGCCGTGATACACTTGACATTTCTTTTAATGATTTTTTTTTTTTAAATGCTACAATAGCATGACAGAAACATCTCGCTATCATTTTTGGCTGAAACTTACGCTGACGTGGAAAGTAATATATTCTTTAAAGCCTTCTGACTGCCTTTACTGGACATGCACAACCGGAAGTCAATGTAAAAATAGCCTGAACTTTATTGTCACTAGCTGCAGTAACAATAGCCACTGCCTTTTTTATAAGTCGATCGCACTATTTAATATCTCTAGTATACAGATGTTGCCAAGCAACGTGGCACCAGCGAGGCGAATGAATCTGTGATGGGAAGTGAGATGTTGACTTTACCTTCTGTAACGTGATACAAAGTATCTTTTCCGAAGGCCAGTGCACCACTGCTTGTGTTCGTCCATAGGATGATGCAAAACTTTATTGGAACGAGTAAAAAATATGGTTTCCTAAATCGTCTTTATTACAACAAATATTGTCAACCATTCACTCACATGTTGAAAGGAAAGCAAGCAAGTAGCCTATATGCAAGACAGAATGACAGGCAATGGCAGTGGGCCAATGCCAGTCATCATAATTTATTTAATACCAAAAGTTACATTTCCATTAATTTAAATGTTACTCTTCAAAGTTGTCAAACTCACCAAATAAGTGAAAATAAATAAACTCATGTTTTGTTTGTCTTGCTGTTGCGATGACTCACTGCACTCAACTGTAAAACTTTGAGTCTCTGTTGCCATGGTTATCATGTAGCATTTGAACCAGAGCAATAATTTAGAACTGTCACCAGGCAATTTTACGGGACGACTTTATGTGTACTTGATCACCTTTTAACCTACAACCTCCAGCGATTCAGAAATGAGTTCTCACCCAGAGAATGGTATAATGGATAATTATTCCAGGTCTTCTGTATTCTGTGTAGTTATCACTCTAAACTCTTGATATTAGAGGGATAATTAAGCTTTTCATTAATTACATAGGCCAAAATGTATGAGTTGTACATTTTATCACCTAAAATGCAGCATTACATAGAGGCAGAATAATTTTTCTCTACCAAAAAAATCCTATCACATAAATACATTTCTGTTATACATTTACATATTGTTTTCAAAGAAATTAGTTTTGCCTAATTTCTGTTCTTTTTTCATTACTGAAGGCAGTAGAGGGAGGCCTGCCCTTGATGTCACTAGGGAACAAGTAGACCTCCTCCTGACACAGGGATTTACAGTGAGAGCTATGGCTCGGATCTTGGGATGTTCTGCCTCATATCTGCACAAGAAAATGAAGGGTTTTCACTTGGGATCAAGGAAAAGGTTCACACCAATAACGGATGCAGACCTGGAGGTGAAGATGGTGACACTCCATAACCAGTTTCCCAGAGCTGGGTCAGAAGTGAGTTACAAAATGTTTACCTGAGTAAACCTATTTATGTATTAGAATATATGCTGCGTTTCTTAGTACACTGACACTTTTCTCCTTTCAACTCCATATAGATGATGAGGGCATATCTGCGTGCTGATGGCTTTGTGGTTCCCAGAAGAAGAGGTAGGGAGATCCTGAACCGTATTGACCCATCAGCTGCAGCCCAAAGGTGGAGCCAGACTGTAGCAAGAAGAAGTTACCATGTCCCCCACCCAAACAGTCTATGGCATATTGATGGCCACATGCGTCTCATTCGGTCAGTAATAGTAGTTCAGCCTTCATGTCATTATTTTGTAAAGTCTATTTTTTAATCACATGAAAATTGAAGTGCAGTTTTATGTCTTATTTAAAAATTGCCATATACTCATGGTAACATTGTAATTATTAGTGTTGTATGGATAATCCTTATTTTGTATTTAATGTGTTACAGATGGGGGTTTGTAACACATGGTTGCATTGATGGAAATTCTCGACTCATCACTTACATTAAGTGCAGCACTGACAACAGTGCTCGGACAGTTTTGACCCACTTTGTCCGAGCAACATGTCTGTACGGACTACCCTCCAGGGTAAGATCTGACCATGGAGGCGAGAACACTCTGGTTGCCCTTCTCATGGCCCTCCTACAAGGCCCAGGAAGACATCTTACCGGTCCATCTGTGCACAACCAACGAATAGAGCGACTTTGGAGAGATGTATTCACACAAGTAGTGCACTACTTTTACAGCCTTTTTTATTCCTATGAAAATGAGCAGATATTGAACCCCTCATCAGACACCCAGAAGATGGCACTCCAAGTTGTTTTCCTTCCAGAAATTCAGGCAAGATTAGACCATTTCCAAAATGCATGGAACCACCACCAAATCAGGTCTGCCAATCAAAGAACCCCAGTGCAACTTTGGATGGAGGGCATGCTGACAAGCGAGTCTGATTCTACGGCACTTGAAGGCATATTTGGACAGGATCCTTACAGCCAAGAGAATCTTGAAACTTGCTTGGCCAGACATGGGTTGCAGTTCAACCAGTTGCAAGCCAACGAGGAAGACATTCATAGGGCTGTTATAGTTTCCCCACCTTTCCATCTGACGCTGAACCAACAGGAGGAGCTAAACAATGCTTTAGCTGGGATGGCAGATCTGAAAAATAAATACCTGGAGTGTGTTAGACGGATGGAGATCTATTTTCAAACCTGAAATGTGTTTCAGGATGCTTTCACACTAGATAACACCTTCTGACACTATGTTAAATGGAACTCATTTGGCCTTTGCCTTTTTTCTTTTATATCTCTACAACAACAGTTAATGTAATTTCTGGGACCAACTGCTTTATTGGTTTTAGAAAACTGCAATGTTTCCCATAAAGTTACTTTGGAAATTGTCGCTATGTTAGTTTAGAATCTTTTTTCCGCTCGCAATCAAAATTTGTACAGCGCTGTCATACATACATGTCATATGGGAATTCATAACCTTGTGAAGTTTAATAGAAAATTTGGGTTACATATAGATAATGGTGGGTTAAATGTAAAATGCCTGTTTTTAGCTTGTACAATTAAAATTTTGATAATGATCTTAGTGTTTTTGGCTAACAGAACTTTGAGTCCCCCACCACAACTTTATCCACACACAACACAGCTGGATATTACCATAAGTGTTTATTTTCAGGAACAATGTTTCTTTCATTGCAACTTAAATCCATTACCAATAGTCTCATAGTATGGATGCTGGAGAAAAAAATAATTTCAACCATAGCAAATTTAATACATCACTATGCACATATATAAACACAAAAAGCCAGTCACAAACTCCAGGACATTTAAAGAACACACCATTAACAATGTTTTACTGTATTGCAAAAAAACAATATTGCATGGATCGCAGGAAAAACTCATTGCAACTTGTAATTAAGAAAGAAAAAAATCAACCACCACTACTGGCTTCATGGTTGTGATACTACAGAAAAAAACACAACCGTAAACTCTCTACATCTAAAAGCCAAGGAAAATCAACTATTCAACAAGCAAAATATAACCATCAAAAAATGTTTGCCTAGCACTAGCATTATCTTTATGCTAGTTCATAAAACAAAAAGGACACCACAGTTGCAGTTTTAAGCTCCAGGCCTACTGTTTTAACTGCTGTAGATGAATATTTCAGACTTCACCAAAACCATGTGAACCCTTTATTGACTCACAAAGCAGGTCATGCAAGTCCTCCTCAGATGTGTCTCTGGGGAGATAAAGACACATTTGGCAGGTTGAAGCGTATGGCAGGCGTCGCTGTCCAGGCTCCTGTGAGTAGAACCCTATGGTTGGTTTTGTAGGAAAGCCCAGGACGGGCACCTCATCTGCACCAGTCATGAAAATCAGGATGTCCTCGTATGTGAGGTCAGTGACCTTGTCTGTCGAAAACAAAACTAAGCCAAATCAACATTTGCATTCTTTTTGAATATTCAGGTACATTTCAAGTAATATTATCTGACATTACTATTACTTTCATTTAGAACTGATGAACTATAATGCTTATCTCCATCATATTTTAAAGACCTAATAATGACTTAGTGCCTTGTAAAACCCAAAACATTCCAAGAGTATTTATTGAAACTTTGAGAATATCAACATCTACAAGAGGAAGAGCTTTCTGCTCCCGTGCGTCCATATTGTGGAATGATCTCCCTCCCTAAATTTGTGAATTATGTAATCTCAATACCGTTAAGTTAAAATGTTGATATCTCTCTCTCATATATATAGATATAGATAGAGAGAGAAACACAGAGACAGACAGAGAGAGAGAAACACAGAGAGAGAGAGAGAGAGAGAGAGAGAGAAAGGGAGAGAGAGAGAAACAGAGAGAGAGACAGAGGGGGAGAGAGAGAGAGAAAGACAGACAGAGACAGAGACAGAGAGAGACAGACAGACAGAGACACAGACAGAGAGAGAGAGAGACAGAGAGAGAGAGACAGACAGAGACAGAGAGAGAGAGAGAGAGACAGATTGCTACTACAAAAATTGTATACCTGATATCTAGTTCCTTTCCATAAAATTTGCATATTGTGATAAACTTCATTATTTTCGGTAAAGTACTGGTAAACACACTTTCACATATTTTAGGTTCATTACACACAACTGCAGTACTTCAAGCCTTGTATTTTTTTAATATTGATGATTTTGGCCTACAACTCATGAAAACACAAAATTCCTTTCTCATAAAATTACCATATCATGAAAAGTCTGTTGTAATCACATCCAGCTGTGTGTAGTTACTCCCCGTGTATATAGACCCTTTTACTACCTACGTCATCAAAAGTTGCGCGCGCAGCCTGGCAACGAGTGAAGGCTTCCTCATTCACACTCGATACTAAAACAGCGTTTTAAACCCTTTGTTTTGAAGTTCTGAGCACATAAAAATGTCGGGTTGTTGCGTGTATGGATGCCAGAATCGCTTCTCTTCAAGCAGTGGACTCAAACTTTACAGAATTCAGAAGGGAGCACATCCATTTCAACAAAATCGGAGGCGTCTGTGGCTGCAGGCCATCAAAAGGGTTGATGAAAACTGGACTGAAAACACGATCAGAAATGCTCGAGTTTGTAGCGCCCATTTTATATCAGGTAAGGTAATTATGTACTAAGATTACACCAGAAAGCTGGTTAACGTGTGTTCTATTAAATAAAGTAAGTTGCGTTTGCCGGTTTGCTTTTAAGCAGTCTATTTATAGGCGAGGTTTTCTGTTTTTCCCATCCTAACACAAAGCTCAACTTTGAATAAAATTGCTGCTGCGTGGCTGCAGCATGACCCAAGTCTGGAAAAACAAAATTACAGAACTTAACAAATTTATACGCTTTATTTCATGCTTAAAATTAACATTTCATTCTAATTCATCTGTATTTTCCCACTGCATATTAGTATAAACTGTATTTCTCTCAAATTAACACGATTGTACTCTGAGCACGCTAAAAAAAGAAACCTATGCTATACTCAACCAGCCATGCAGGTACAGTTGGCTGTGACGACGTAGTTCTCTGGTTTGTTTACTATGACCCAAGCCTCGTACATAGCAGTCTTGTGTCCTTGTCTTTGGCTAGGAAGGACTTCTGCCTTCAAGACGCAAAAAGAGTGTATGTCGTGATATTTTACTTTCTATACGTGGCCACAGACAACATAGTTGTATGCATCTAACGATTTGTATGCCCGTAGCTTCTCACCTGTTGTCAGGTCGTATTGTCTCATTGAACCTAATGGTTCTCCCCCTTCTGCTCGTCTGGCTACTCCTCTCCCTGTGATCCCTGGACTCTTTTCCTGAGGACCCTCCCAGTGTTCCTGGTTACCTTTTTTGCATTTTTGTCCTTGTCACTTTTCATTAAAATGCCAAAGAAGCACAAAACATCTGCGCCTGGATCCTCACTACCCAATCATGAATTAACCTAATCATCTGAATCAACTAATTAACTCTAAACAACTGCAAAAGATTCTTGAGGCTTTTAAAAACTCCCAGCTTGGTTCACTACTCAAGACTGCAAATCATGGGTCAGACTGCCGACCTGACTGCTGTCCAGAAGGCCACCATTGACACCCTCAATTCCCCAGGTCAAGCCACTTTGGAAACAGAAATAGCGGCAGAAGCGCCTGACCTGGGCTACAGAGAAGCAGCACTGGACTGTTACTCAGTGGTCCAAAGTACTTTTTTTCGGATTGAAGGAAATTTTGCATGTCATTTGGAAATCAAGGTGCCAGAGTCTGGAGTAAGACTGTGGAGAGGGAAATGCCAAAATGCCTGAAGTCCAGTGTCAAGTAGCCACAGTCAGTGATGGTCTGGGTTCCATGTCAGCTGCTGGTGTTGGTCAACTGTGTTTTATCAAGGGCAGGGTCAATGCAGCTACTGTAGCTATCAGGAGATTTTGGAGCACTTCATGCTTCCATCTGCGTAATAGCTTTTTGGAGATGAAGATTTCAATTTTCAGCACAACCTGGCACATGGCCACAGTGCCAAAACCACTGGTGAGTGGTTTACTGACCATGGTATTACTGTGCTCAATTGGCCTGCCAACTCTCCTGCCCTGAACCCCAGAGAGAATCTGTGGGATATTTGAAATGAAAGTTGAGAGATAAAAGTCCCAACACTGGATGAGCATAAGGCCGCTATCGACGCATCCTGGGCCTCCATAACACCTCAGCAGAGCCACAGACTGATTGCCTCCATGCCACGACGCATTGAAGCAGTCATTTAAGCAAAATGATTACCCACATAGTACTGAGTGCATAACTGGACATAATTATTTGAAGGTTGACTTTGTAGTATTAAAAAGACTTCTTTTATTGATCTAACTAAATACCGTAATTCCTCTAATACAGGCCGGTATTCAATTAAAGGCCGGGTCTCCAATTTTGGCCGGTGTCGGAGTCAGCCCGGTCTCTTATTGTGGCCGGGTGGAATGTGGTAACAAGTAAGTATAAGCGTCCCAGCGGCAGGGTTATAGTCCCCAGATCAACCAGCAGGAGGCAGTAGAGGTTCACGCAGACCTTTATTAGGCTTTTTCTTCAACGCTTTGTAATGCTACAGACACGATCCTCTATCATGCTCCTACCACACAGAGTCACGGTGTCAGTTAACCATGCTAATTCAACCTGCTTCACAGAACACACATCACCTTCCCTGTGGCTTACATAACACTCACACAACACGCAAATCAGCACATAGGAACTAGCAGAACGATAGGAAACACATATAACACAATACCCAGAATGCACCTGGCTTACAACCCCAGCCAGGTCATTACACTATCAAGTTCAAAGAGAATGTGCTGATTATGCTGCAGAACACTCTGGAGAGCAGCAGTAGGGGGTGTATGAACTAGTCAACTTCACTATAGTGACTTTTTATGCCTGTCGTCGACTAGTCGCTGTCACGTGATAATGACCGGCAAGATGCAGCCCTCGGAAAAGACAGCAGCCTGCTATCAGCAGGTGACAAGCTCCTGCGCTCGGGGGCTGGGTGGGGGCAACGCGCTGTGCCAGACTGTAGGTACTGGCATGCGATCGTTCATGTCGGTTCATTTCCTTTAATGTTTTCTGTCTTTTTTTTGCGCCTGATGTGTATCGCTGCTGTGGAGCGGGGCGCATCACCTTGTCCTCCGACGCACAGATCACTGATGCGGCCGGCAAGCAGGGAGCGCTCCGCTGTTTTCGCGGTCGGTAGATCTGCCTCCTGAGCACGGCCACAGTAACAATCAGGTGTCGCCACCTCAAAAACTAATTTAACACACGATCGTTCATGTCAGTTCATTTCCTTTAATGTTTTCTGTCTTTTATTTGCGCCTGATGCGTTTCGCTGCATGCTGTGGAGCGTGGCGCTGCGCGCATCACCTTGTCCTCCGACGCACTGATCACTGATACGGCCGCCAAACAGCGAGCGCTCCACTGTTTTTGCGGTCGGTAGATCTTTTAGAACTGCAGTTCAAAGGTAACTCATGAGGTGAATATATATGAACCCAGGTAGCAGTTTCTCTTTAGGATTGAGAGGAGATGCAGGAAGATAATAAACAGACAGGACAGAAAAATAGTCAAATAAAAAGAAGTTAGTTTTTGTACCTGCTGTTGCAACAAACAGACACCATTGAAGGTAATCAGAAGTGAGGAACAGAAAATGAAATAATTATTTTAATGTTTAGAGCAGCAGGAACTCCGAGAGGCTGCAGGCGCATCAGTGAGTTTGGGGCCGCTGCGCAGGGGGAGAGGGCTGAAGCAGGGGGAGGGGGGAGATGGCTGAAGCAGAAACTACCGTTGTTAAAAGAAATGTGTTTAACTTTGAAAATGTGGGCGCAATTTTAATTGTCAAAAACTCCAGCGAACCATTAGTTCGTTTTTGCTCAATTAGAAATAGAGGCCTGCCTCTAATACTGGCCCTCCTTCCAATAAAGGCCTGGAGCTTGATGAGCTTGAGTCAAATACAGGCCCGGGCCTGTATTAGAGGATTTACGGTATGCTAATTTTTAGAGATAGGAATTTTTTGGTTTTCATGAGCTGTATGCCAAAATCATCAGTATTAAAACAATACTGCTTTAACTACTTCAGTTATGGGCAATGGATCCAAAATATGTGAAAATCTTATGTTAACCAGTACATTACAGAAAATAATTAAGTTTATCACAACATGCTAATTTTTGGGAAAGGACATGTGTATCAGACATAGAAATTTTGTAGTAGCAATCTGCTAGATTGGTCTTATTCTTGCCTCTTCTGCCTTCCTTTAAAACAATCATCTCTGGTGGATGTCAAGTCTGGCATCAAATTCCTGCTTCCCTGTCATTAACTCTTGAGTGGAGGCCCAAAACAGGACCGACTTCTCTACTTCTTACAGTCCCTGTAACATATCCTCCCTTCATAAAATTGTCAAATTAAACTCTGCTTTGATGTTATCCCCATTATTGACAACACTCCTTTTAATGAATGGACAGATACTGGGCCATCAAACCAGAACCGTAGACAACAAACTATGCTTTTACAACAATATCATTTTGGAAAAAAATGTTCTCCTCATATGACACTTGTTTGAAATGATGGAAACCTTGTGATCCATCTATAAATTCCTTATACTTCACTTGGTGCCTGCCAGTTGTATTGAGTACCTGAGTCATGGATCTGCCCATGAGTGCTTCCTAAACAAATTACTAGAATCTTTTCTTATTTTTCATATTTGAGAAGTTTGCAATATTTTCATTGCCACTGTTACTCTGGGGTGCTCCTCTTACTGTCTGAAAAGGGCTGCAAGGCAACAGTATTGTATTTGGTGCTCTAAAAACTATATTTAATTAAATATTGCAATACATACAGTAAATGTAAAACAAAATGTAAAAGAGGTCAGTGTGAAGCCTTATTATATATGCTTAACCACTAGTCTACAACAACTTGTAATAACTACCTTCGATTTTATTGAGGATCATCTCAAAGTTGAATGCCGTTTCCTCCTCTGCTTCCCGTACATTGGTCCCTTTCTCCCCACTGTAGGTGTACAGGTATAGGGCCTTAAATGCTCCCTTTGACATTGGTTCTTGCATGTTTGTGAAGATTGGAGAAATGCAATCCAGTTGCATTTAATGAGGTCCCAGAGTCTTCCGCAGCTGCTGATTCCCTCAGTGAATTGGTTTATCATCTTTGTTGACCTACAACAACAACAAAAAAAGAATGTAAAAAAAATTACCCCACGGTAAGGAATTACATAAACATAACACCAAAAACATGGAGTGCAAACAAATGAGCTATAAGGCCTTGGTCCAACATTGGCATGGTGAGGGGAGCTTCCTGATGATGGCAATATTGGCAGGCAGTGTTTTGTGTGCATGAGGAGGGATGGTCAGTAAGTGGTGCAACATTAACATAACAGATCCCAAAGTGAACAAATAAATATACTTTCACAACATAAAAAAAAGGGTTTATAAATAGAACAATAATGTCAATGAAACCCTACTGGTACCAACTATCTACTGAGGATGAGCTTAACCCAGTAATGTATCCGTAGACCCTGATGTCCTCATATCTATAACTGTGTGTGAGCATATAGGTTTTACCCATGGAAGTGTTTCATAGATGGCAGGGCCGTTTCTTCCTATAGGCAGACTGTGCAGTTGCACAGGCCCCCCAAGCCACTAGGGGGGCGACAAAGCAGCTGTAGGTCAATTGTGACTTTCCCCACTCCCATACGATTTTTTTTTTTTTCAAATTAAAATCAATTCAAAAGTTGTTTAAAAAAGCAATCTGGCAGGTTAAAGTCTGGTCTTTCTTTTATAAATCAGATTATTTGTAACCATCTTTCAATGGGGAAAAGGACTGAAGCTCGTCTCACTGGAACTGAGCTGCGTCACTGGTGCATTCAGGAGCGTTGGACGGTGAGTTCAATAACGTAGGATGTTTAAAATTTATAAGAAAAACATTAAGAAATAATACCATAAGCCTGAAACATCTGTTTAATGGCATTTGGCAAACAATATTTGGCCCATAGTAAATATGTTCTACCTATTTTCCCAAAAGTACTACAAAATAAACTAACAAACTATATTCTCTCTATTAATTTAATCTTCTTAAGATAGCAGCGACTGAAAACTGGAACTTTTGTTTAAAAGATCTTGGATGCCCATTTGCAGTTTGATATCTTGAAAATTTTGTATCAGTTCCCAATATAATATATAAATGAACTCATTCCAGAGTCTTTTCTTGAAGACAAAATCACATCTCCCTGAAGCTACTGTTTGAATATTATATTGTTTAAATATGCATAACCAAATAGATAAGAGTATTTCCTCCTGTTTTCTTATTATACTTGCCCTTGAATGGTAAATCCTACTACAGTACTACCACAATTTTTTTTGCTAACTGGTTTTATTGATATTGGAGATTAGCCGAGACAGAAAACAGCAGCTATACAAATTGTGTTCCTCTCTTGATCCAAATAAAATGTAAATCAAAAATAACGAATTATTATAGTTAGTTATTTTTCTTAGCATAGTTAGTTACTTAGATCTCAAAACACGCCCTAACCACAGGGTGACCAACCATCCTCTTTACAAGGACATTTCCGCTTTTTACATTCTATTAACACAGATAGAGAGAGAGATATAGATAGATAGACATGGAGAGAGATAGAGAGGAATATATATATATATATATAGAGAGAGAGACAAATACCCAAAAGTGTATGGGAGATGTAAGAAGTGGTATGAAGTCGGGTGTGTGTGTGTACTGTATGGATGTGTATGCTGCAGTGTTAGGATGTGGGATAGAATAACAAAAGGTCCATGACAGAGGGAGTAAAAACTGCTGAAAATTCAATTTGTGTGTTTTGTGTGTGTAGTGCAGTGTGTTATGTCTTCATGAGTGCTGAGGAGTCCATTTCCATTTTAAGTGCAAATACATTACCTCAAGAAAATGTAGTGTTTCACTACATAGGAGTATATCTTGGGGACTTCTTCCAGCTTAGCGTTGAACACACCTGGGAACCTACAGTCTGCAATCCACTCTCCCAGGTTGCTTTTAAGCATTGAAAGATCCTCACAGGTCTGGCACTGTAAAACCGTAAATCAAATTATATTATTGTTAGCCAAGTTCACCACTACATGGGGAAAACGTACCAAAAATGAGTGTTACCCTTTTTAGTTTTTCCTGCACGTCCGGGTCTGGCAAAAGAGAAGGATTGAAGTGTTCTAATGGGGGATCCTGGCCACACATCATCTGGTACAAATTTGGATCCAGGGCCTTTATCCCTGGACCACCATGAGCTAAAGACCAGCCAATAAGCTTTCCACCCTGGAAGAACTTATTTTGTTCAAGTGCAGACTGGTCGTAAGCAAAGAATACTTGTCCAGCTCTGCCTTCAAATATCCCAAGGGTTGACTGTACTTCAATCATTAGTAGTCTGGGAAAAAGTAAACAAGACTTAATGCAAAGTTCAATTGAAAACATGTGTAGTAGAAACATAATGACAGCTTGATGAGAAAAAGTAACATTATAGAAATAAAATGTAATTGAAGGAAGCAAAGTTACACCAGTAAAAGGGAATACTAGACTAGTTCTGTGTCACTTGAGTTTTGAAGCCACATTAAATGTAGAATTGTGTCAGAATAATAAAAATACCTCAGATAGGAGTACAGTGCAATTTCATAAGACTTTGAAGACAAGTGCGCTATTCTGATGCCATGTAAAAACAACCCAAAAATGTATCATTAAGGCCATTAGAAAAATTTTTACCGAAAAAATTCACGCTGGGGCCCACCCATATCATCCGCTTCTTCTCCGAAGAATTCTATTTCCGGTGAGTCATTCCAAGAGAAACTTAAACGTGACATTGCCCTGATGGCCGTATCCAGAAGCTTTCGCCTTCTGATGCAGATCTTTTGCACTAGTCCTGAGAGGTTGTCCTCTTGGAATTGTTTTAAGAGGACAGCTACATCCTCTTCAACCTGAATGAAAGACAACATTATTTATAAAAACTGCAATGTTTGGGGCTTATTTTTGCCCTGTAACTCAATTCCATATGAGGCGAGGAGAGGCTGAAAACGAATCAAATGTTCATTTTCAACTTTCGGCCGAAAGACCTGAACCACCGAAACGACACGGACGAAACATGATGTCATTGTTTACAGTCTATTCTGCCTCGATACGTTCCATCTTCCAGAACTAAAGGCTTGGTTTCTGCTAGTATCGAGAGGCTGAACCGCTGTGCTTAGATGACGCTACATATGCTAACCGTTGCTACAGCTAACAGAACACAGCTATCTAGCCACCAGCGTCTGAACGACCGAATGGGTTTGCTTTGCTGCTCGCTACGGCTGCAGCAGACTGTAGAAATGTTAACGGTGTGGGTCAATTCGCGTCCCAATTTGAATGTATGTGGTGGCTCTACTTTCTACACGCTATGAGTCAGCTCTAGAATTTGTATCAGAGCAGAGAGGAAAATATTTCTTCTAGAGTTTTTCAGCAGCTGGCACACAACATTTGTCGTGCATTACCACCACCTTCTAGAATGGAGTGTGGGCCAGGCATTGCAGTTGCTTAAAAAGACTTATTTCTACTTATTTTACCATCTTTTTCCTGCCATTAAGTTTTAAGCCCATCATTTATTGATTTTGTTTATAATTATTTTTTTAATGTGTACATGAATGGAGGCAAGCAAAACATTTTATTTAAAATTTTATTTCATATTTATTCATAATTAAATATTTATGCAGCACATGTCAGTGCTGCATGATAGTTTCATAGTTTTGTTTAACTGCAATGCCTTGATTTTAGTGAGGTTGGAACTCATCATAGCAATAAACACTATGGTTCTAATTATTTACATCTTTCTTTTGGTTTCAGTTTTCGGCCTTGGCTTTCTCATTTTCAGTTTCGGCCCAGAATTTTCATTTCGGTGCATCCCTAGTATCCACCCATAAGGAAACATATGCACAATGAGGGATCCCTGACACTGCACACAGTAACAACACGATAGTGATTGCTACATCGAGTTATTACTTACAACTCCTAAAACATTTTTAAATGCACTTGCACAAACACACAATGTTATGCCATACAGTATCTTCCCAGCATATTTTAAAATGCACATCACTTACCAATGGCAGATTTTCTCTTTCCATAGGCAGTTCCACAATGCCATCGTCTTCCTCCTCCTCATCTGAATCTATAAAGAAATCAGTTGCAGGGTTCCTGAGAAAAAATGAAATTGCTTTAACTTGCGCCTTTATCCCCTATTAAAATATTTTTGTAGAGTGGTTAGTCTTGTATTAATCAATACATTACAAAAACTGAAAATGTGTACCAGATAAAAGATCCAAGTCAAAGCTATATATTTGGTATTGATGTTATTTTCACATTATTTGTGCAATATTGAACTATAGGCAATCAAATGGAGAGTGTGAACATGTGACATACTGCCCCACCAAGGGGTATGTCTCATATGGGTTAAGATGTCACAATGGATTTTGCAAATACTAAAACAAATAGACAATTACTGTTGTGCTTATTTTTTACTTTTACTGTTAAAATTGAAGTCAAGAACAGACTGTTTATCATTGTGTAACGCTTTTGGAAATTATTCTAGGTCCTAAATGAGGAGCTTCAGCAAAGCTGTATGGCTTACCAGTGTGCCTATCACCAAACACTCACTGCTTCCTGGTAGTGAGGATCAGCTTCAAGTCAGGTTAACATGGACCGACTCACAGTAACATAGAGCAATGTTTTAAAGGGAAATCAAGAGCTGCTAACTCTTGAACAGCCATAAAGCTGGAAGAGCCGAGCTGAATGTTTGAATCAGCACTTGAGGAGCAGCAGCTGGTAATCAACTGGGGCACACACCTTTTAAGGGGCGTGTCCAACGACGAGGCGCACTACTCCTGCAGCTCTCGGTCACCTGGTCTGGGTTACAATTGGCTTTCAAGAAGTTATTAAGTGTGGCCATCAAAATGGACAAGGACACAGAATAATATAGCAAACACAGACTGGATGAAAGTCCAGACTGCCTAAAAGGCCTTTTTAGCATTTCTTTAATGAGTCAGAGTGGTTGCCTTGCTTTTTCTTGTTTAATAGCAATCACAGAAGAGACTAACGGTGCCGACACACCGCACGCAATTCTGGCAAAAAAAAAAAAACACCTCTGTTCAGATGCACCTACTGACACACCTTGCCGCACGTGCAGGACGAGTTAAACACGCAGCTACAGTAATGTAAATATTTTGACTGATTTGGACAGGCGTCTAGGCGGACATGCGAGGATCTATTGATAGCGCATATACTGTATATGTAGATGTGGGAGTAACTAAACCGTGTGTAGAACACCACTGCTATGTTATTAATTTATTTTAGACAGTATCTACAGTATTTCCATCTGATTGCAGATGTCAGTCAGAGGCTGAGCAGCGCGATTCATTTTAAGTCCGCACTGATTGTTGCCTGCTGGCGCTCTCACAGCTGTGGAGGGGCTTCGCTCTTTTCAGTAGTCGGAGCTGTGGCGCCGGCGTAGGAGCAAACGGCAAAGGAGGAGCTAAATAAATAATCTGTTGTTTTTCTTTTTGTGATCGTTGAAAACCCCGATCGTAATACAGATTAAAATTCAATTAATCGCCCAACCAATGTTCTATGTAACTCAATTGGGAAAATTACATAAACATCTTCTCCTAGGGATTTGAATGTAAAGACCCCAAAATTGATCAGCATCCTCACAAAACATTAAGATAAAAATCTTTCAAAGGACTGCTGCCTCAAAGCGTGTGTGCGTGGCATATAATTAATGTCTGCATAAACACAAACACAATTAAAAAGTTCTCCCACTTATAAAGTCCCAGCACGAGGAAACTTGGTGCGGTGCATCATCTCAAAGTTTTTGACAGCACACAGTGGTTAATTTCTAACCTCATGTAAACCCTGCCCCCTGAGAGCTATAAGTGTAATACTTTGCCTTACGACTAAGCCACACCTGCTGAGGAAGTGCTGCAAAGCGCCCGGAGGCGAGGCGCTAGCGAAATTTGGCCGTTGCTCGTTAGTTCATACCAGACACTCACATTTCAGCTGTGATCGAGGTGTGCTCCTGCAGAGGGCTGGTTTCTTTCTCCAACACAGGTAACCAGAGAGCATCTGCCTCCCCCTTTCTATGCCCACTATGTACAGTGAAGCCAAACATAATGGTGAAAGACTGAAAACCATATCCAGACACGATGAAAGAGGGCAGGGCTCAAGTTGCGTGGAGAAGTCTGACGTCATGCCATGGAAATACGTTAAAAATACTTGGCAGGGTCAGACTGGGTAATTGGTTCCAATGAAAGGCTAATTAGCTTCCTTAACCAAATAGCCTTATTTCATTTACATTTGTAGCTACTCCATTGTTTTGTGTGAACAAGGCTTACGTTTCCAATATGGGGTATGACTTACCTATATGACATCGGCTGGGGCCCACGTGACTGTCCTTCAATCACCTTCAAAGAACAAACATTGCATGGTAAAAATGTTTTTCAAGGAAGCGGGCAATGTTTGGAGTATATTTCCCACTGTAAAATTATATCTAAAAGTTTTTACATGAGTTTTTATAAAATAAAATAATTAAGAAGGGGATGATGTGTTTAAACTTTCTCACGGGTCCACATTTTATCTTATGGAGCTTTAAGAGCTACTTCTTGCATTAAAATGAATGTTGGAATTTACCTGTTGTATGTCCATGGCCATTGTGTGAGAAGATGTGGATTGAGGAACTGCAAGTGATGCAGCTGAACAAGATGCCAATGGTAGTTGGGTAAGAGTTGGGCTAGCAGCAGCATCTGTTCGGGTCAGAGGTGGGCTAGCAGCAGTATCTGTTTGGGTCAGACGTGGGCTAGCAGCAGTATCTGTTTGGGTCAGAGGTGGGCTAGCAGCAGTATCTGTTTGGGTCAGAGGTGGGCTAGCAGCAGTATCTGCTGGACCGCTGGCAGACGATGAGGCAATGGACACAGAAGATGAAGAAGCAGATGACAACTCATCAGCTGTGTCAGGCACAGTTGATAGAGATGTTTCTGAGACCTGTATGGACAGACGCAGAGAGTGCTACGAGTAATGTTAGTGTTACAAAAAGTAAAACCAATGCAGTTATAACAAACATATTAATCACCTGCTGTGGTAGTGTAATGCTAGTGTGGGGAATAATGTAAAGCCTGCTTCGGCACACTGCTTTCCTCAGGTCCTTCAGTGTACTTGCTTGAATTTTGGTTAGAACCCTTGCCTTGTCTGCCTTTGCAATGTTGAATCCAATCACATTTAGACTAACTTGGGGATAGCTGTGACAGATGTAGTTGTTGAACTCTGTGAGAGTCCATGAAAGTGGTACAAAACACTCCCGAGCGACAGGCCCAGGCACATCATGTTTGGGTACCCCTGCAAAATAATTTGAGCAAAACAATAATTATTATGCTGATACTGTACTGTTTCATAGTTACTTTCTGAACCAAAAAACTATGCTGTTGCTGTATACCACATAACACAGCCACATCAACAGATAACTTTCATACAATAACACCGGAAAACCCAAATTTATATAATTAAACCAAAAAAGCACTCAGAGTACAGACCTCCACCAATAGACCTCCACCTCCAATATACCTTTCACTTTTGTTCTCCAAACATACAAAATATTTTGGTCAGACAGTGAGCCTTGTAACCAGTAAAAGCATGTATGGATCACCCCAAAAATTTACTCACCTGTTCCTGGTCCCATTGCGTACACTTCCTGAAAATGTCATCCAAAATAAGTTCACAACCTTTTGAGTTACTTGCTAACAAACAGACATACAACTCCGGCGAAAACATTACCTACTTGGAGGAGTTAAAAAGATGAAGTGTGTTCATTACCTAAGCCTTGTCTGGTTAATTTACTGCACTCAGACGGTGTTGGAAGGACAACAGCATTGGCATTTGGCAAAAGGAATAGCTTCACTCTCCAATGTGCAGCATTAGGTGTTTGTGAGACCACTGGAAGGAAAGAACATAATATTGAAATGTGCTTACAGTTCAAGTGACCCAGGTAACACAGTCACAGTAGAAGTCACAATTTATACAACCGTATAGGGCTTGACAACAACCACAGCCGATAACACTCAGATGCAAATCGTGGCAGGAGAAAAAAAATACATATATACAGGTCCTTTCCAAAGAATTAGCATATCATGAAATTTTTCTCTAAACGAGCTATTAACCTAATAATCTGCATCAACTAATTAACTCTAAACACCTTTAAACGATTCCTGAGGCTTTTAAAAACTCCCAGCCTGGTTCATTACACAAGACCGCAATCATGGGTCAGACTGCCAACCTGACTGCTGTCCAGAAGGCCATCATTGACACCCTCAAGCAAGAGGGTAAGACACAGAAATAAATTTCGGAATAAATAGGCTGTTCCCAGAGTGCTGTATCAGGGCACCTCAGTGGGAAGTCTGTGGGAAGGGAAAAGTGTGGCAGAAAACGCTGCACAACCAGAAGAGGTGACCGGACCCTGAGCAAGATTGTGGAGAAGGACCGATTCCAGACCTTGTGGGACCTGGGGAAGCAATGGACTGAGTCTGGAGTAGAAACATCCAGAGCCACCGTGTGCAGGCGTGTGCAGGAAAAGGGCTACAGGTGCCGCACCCGGGTAAAGCCATTTTTGAACCAGAAACACTGGCAGAAGCGCCTGACCAGAACCCCATAGAGCAGTGTTTTTCAACCCTGGTCCTCAAGGCACACTCTCCTGCCGTTTTCAGATTTTCCCTGCTTCAGCACATGTGATTTCAATTGGTGGTTGATTAACAAGCTTTAGCTGAACTGCAGTCAGCTGAATGGGGTGTGTTAAGGCCGGGAGAAATGCCTTGAGGACCAGGATTGAAAAACACTGCCATAGAGAATCTGTGTGATACTATGATAAGAAAGTTAAGAGAAGCAAGACCCAACACTCTGGGTGAGCTTAAGGCTGCTATCGACGCATCCTGGGCTCCATAACACCTCAGCAGAGCCACAGGCTGATTGCCTCCATGCCGATTGCCTCCATGCCACGCCCCATTGAAGCATTCATTTCTGCAAAAGGATTCCCCACCAAGTATTGAGTCCATAAATTGACATAATTTATTGAAGGTTGACTTTTTTGTATAAAAAGAGTATTTTCTTATATTGGTCGGATGAAATATGCTAATTTTTTGAGATAGGAATTTTGTGTTTTCATGACCTGTATGCCAAAAGCATCAATATTAAAACAATACAAGGCTTGAACTACTGCAGTTGTGTCTAATGAATCTAAAATATGTTAAAGTCTAATGTTTGTCAGTACATTACAGAATGTAACCAAGTTAATTACAATATGCCATTTCTTTTTGGAAAGGACCTGTATATGCTTTCCTTTCAATTAATGCTACAGACAGGTCTCCTATTCACATAACCTCATTAATTTATTGATAAAGGGATGCAAGTTCCATCAATGCAGCCTGCAAACCATAAAACTGACCAAATTGATGATTGCTTCCAGTGTCCAAGCTTTATGGCATACAGTAATTATTGTTTAAACTAGAGTAATACGATTAGATTTTCTCATAATGTTACATTTATTTTTACAGTGATTCCTGCTATTCAGTGGAACGCTTCCTAGACAACTCTGGTGGCTCTGTGACCAGGGAACACTACAAATGTATTAGAAGGTGTATCACAGCAAGGGTCACAGTTCTGTTAGTCTGTCTGATAGGCTGTGGGAAGCAGAATGGGAGGGGCAAAAGTTGCAATATACGCTCCTCTG